AAAAAGAAAAAAAAAATAGCGAATTTACACACTTAAATGGCAATACTTACAAATATTAAACTAGATTACAGCAGTGCTAATTCCATATGTTACTGTACTTAGTAAGATCTGTAATTAATTTTTACATTTTTTTTTTACTTTCTTTGTGGTGAAATTAATATAGATATTCAGTTGAAGTAACAGTTGGAGTGTAAGTCACGATAAATTCGACTGGGTCATTTTGTCAGAGTTCTTTTGTGAGTGTAGGACAATATTTATGAAAATAAGAAAATACCAAATCATCAAAAAGCTTTGTAACTATAATTTTTAAATTTTGTGTTTACTTACTTTCTTTTTAATTTTCTGGCATTTCAAACTTTTATTAAAATATTTGTTTGTTTGTTTTGTTTTGTTTTTTTCTTTTTCTTGGTTTTTGAATTTTTTGTTGTGGTTGTTTTCTTAAAAAAATTCTCATTTAATCACAAAAGTCGGGAAAAATAGATTAAATATGGAGAAAAATAAATTTTAAATAGGTATTATTCAATCTTCTGTTTTCGTTCCGGAACAAGAGTGGCATCTTAGCCAGGAGATAAATCTGTCAACGGAATCTTTGAAATGTTTTCTTTTTCCAAAAGTGAGGTTTTTAGTGATGTCATAGACAGTTAACCATGATAAATTTCTTTTGCGCGCTCAAAGGCTCTTCTAGCGCTGCGATACTAATGGTCAGCAACAGAGCATTTGTGGGATTGGTAAGCTATTGTGTGTGATTAAGGGTCGAGTTCTTAGGTCAGTAGCCCCGTTTAGTCACTTTTTTAAATGTTTCGTATACAATAATTGTTGAATCGCACAAGACTGCGAGCAAGCTTTTCACAGCGAGCGAGTCCGTGATACGCGAGAGAACCCGCGCGCGAGTTTTATGGCGTACAAAGTCTTACGACAGTGCTGAAGAGTTTAGATAAGATCACACAGTGCTAAAGAATATAAAGCAATTGCGTTTTAGATAATTCCCTAGTTTTGCACTGCGCATAGCAGTACGACATCAAAGGTGGGAAGGGGAGAATTTTTTTGGGTCGCCTAATTAAAGAAAGGTAACAAGGTAGTTCTTCCTGGCTAGAAAAGATGTTGGTCTTAATACTCGCTCCAGTCCCTTCGCGAAAAATGATGTTTTTTCGCCCCAAATGTATTTTTCTCTTTGTTGTCTTTTTGCAATGACGCGAGACAGAAGCCCATCAGAGTACCTGCGCGAGAACGGTGACCGCCAATTTTTTTTGGTGTTTTTCACTCGTTATGACCACACGAAAAATATAAAAAATTTGTATGCTGGAGGTTGCATTATTTCAAAAAATGACATGAAACTCGGCATATGAAATTGCAGCGAGTTATAGGATAATGTTAAAACAGTCCACTTTTCTTACATTTTTCTAAGATCGGGAAACTTCAAGTTACTCAACTGAAACATTATTGCCAAGAAAATGTAATTAAATGGGCCCTAATTTTAAGTAAAATTCATAGTTTTTGCTATATAACTAGTAATAGCTGACACTACAGCCGTCCCGGCTCTGTATATTGTGGTCAATAAAGTATTCGTGGTCGTTCTCTAGCTCCTTAAAATATACCGATTCATAATAAAGATTTTTACACAGTATTGCATACAATAAGTGAGATAAAAACAGGTAACGCAAGGTTCCATGCATTTATTCAGTTCGATTACACACAGCTTTAATCAAAACATTCTCAGTTTCGAGAAATACCTTGCTTTTTGGGAATGGAAGTTCAAGGGATCGAACTCATAGAAGTTGACTGTTGTCTACTGTGGTGTAGCGCATATATGTTAGTGAAGGCGCAAAAAAATTCGTTGGATGAATCGAACATTTTTCAAGATAACGAAAATTGATTTCTGGTATTATTTACTTACCGATATCTTCTGCACGAGACACTCGACGGCACTATGCAAAAAGTAGACAAGGGACTATAAGCGTTGAAAACGATCTAAAAACCTTAAAAATTCAGAGCCAAATGAGCCAGTTAATCGATTTCTGCGGATTTCTGGACGTGTATGGACAAAAGAAAGTCAGGTACTCTTAGCTCTTACCAAGTTTTGCTTATGAGGGCAGTGTTCCATTTATTTTTTTAAGTAAGGGATCAAGTACACCGTCTAATAAAAGATATTAGGGACCTTAAGATCCGACGACGGCGACGGCAACGGGAACGTCACGAAAGCAATAGGTTTGATAACCACAACAACAATTTTGCACGTGTATCACTCTTTGTCGTACATTTCTTTGCTGTCACTATACGACTGCGACGTGAAACAACCTACCGTAAAATTCCGAAAATAAACCCTTCCATTCACCCCCCCCCCCCCTAAACCGGTAACGCAAAAAACCCTTCGTTAAATCGCCCCTTCAAATATAAGCCCTCCGGGGGCTTGTACTTGGAAAATGGCCCTCAAATACAAAGTAAAACAAAGCAAAAACGGTAAATTTACTTCCAAATATAAGGCTATCCCATTCAATTTGGAAACGCAAATTTCCCTCCGTAGATAAGCCCCTCCGAATGTAAGCCCCTCCAAAAATAAGCCCCTCAAAAAGGACCTTTGAAAAATATAAGACCCGGGGCTTATTTTCGGAATTTTACGGTATTTAACCCGGCCTCTTTTTAAAGCCTTGCATTATAATGACTGGCCGTCCTATCCTAAGCTAGACATTCATAATCCAACACGGACACTGAGGTCTTTAAAAGAAACGACGTTAAAAGTACCCCTTAAGTCGGGTGCTTTCCAGGACAGTGCCGCCCTTTAATGTTTTTAATTCATTACCTGAGTCCGCTGCAAGTAAGGAACTCTGTAGTTTTTAGTCATTTTAAAACTCAAGTGAGGAAGTATCTGATAAATAAGGCAAATGTACGTTTGATTTCTTGATTTGTATGTATTCTAGATTATTCTAACTTTTGTCAGTAGCATCACTAATATTGTACATAGCTAAACCACAGAGAGATGAGCAAAGTTGAAACTTGGATAGTTCTCAAGTTTATTTATTCTTGGAAATTAAACACGAATTCGTAATTCATAAAATTCTAAAAACAAATTAAAGAAAACAAAATTATAAAAATTATGTAACATGCTTTCTAAGTTTCTTCATGAAAGTAGGTGTCAAAATGTTCAGGGAATACAGAATATTCTATCTATTATTCTGAAGGTGAGTGGATTCCTGCTTGCTATTTTTTCCACATTGGTCCTAATTCAATCTTTTGAAGATCAGACTGTCGACAACACATGGTGCAGCGCCAGCTTCAACTCACACCCCAATCTAAATACGTAGAGCTAAAACATGGTTCAATATAGTAACTTTCTATAATGATTAAAATAGTATTTGGTGTTTCAGTCTCATTTATAAATCACTTGCCTCTGACTCTTGTTTATCCTTACAAAATCTTGGGAGGCAAGACAGATTTTCGTATATATAAAATGTGTAACGATAAAACTGGAAATTATCACGATAAAATTCATTTTTAGAAATGAAATTTGCATTAATGGGTAAAGTCCTTTGTGCTTCCTGCAAAATTGAAAGGAGGTCTAATGTCATCCAGCATTTGTTCAAGAGATCTTGTATTATAGCGAAAGCTTTCTTATCCCCCCAAGAAAAACGTAATGCAAGAGTTTTCGGGGGAATATTTGTATCTACTTCAAGGAAATCTTCCACGATCAGCTTCGTGGTTGGAATGAGTGCCAATTTTTCCATCAAACATCCTCGTGTCGTCTTTAATGCTTAATTATTTCGACAGCAAGATAATTATGATCAGAATGTCTTTCTTGACCTCAGCAATTTAGCCTGTGCCAGGGTCTCAGACAGTAGGGATGTCGCGAAGGAACAGACTTCAGAAATAATCGGCGATTAAATTTGTTGAAGTAAGAATGCCTGAAACAAAAAACTGATTGTGGGGCCGTTGGCCAATCTCTTTTTAAGTCATCTAATGCCTTGCTCAATTTCCATGAGTAAAATGTTAATGTTGTAAGTGATAAATACCCAGCGGGGTTACTTGGGTTAATATTTGCTGGGTTTGTGCCGCTGGCCTCTCAGACCCCCTACCCAATTTTAAGTCTCTTCTGTAGCCAAATATAGACCCCATCTGAGTTACTTTTGGGAAAATTTAATTTTCGTGATTCCATCTTACTAACTTTCTGTTTACGCATTTACCTTATAAAGTCTTCTAACTAGGTCCTCCTGAAAGTAATTGACACATTCGTTAAACCCAATGAAGTGGAAATCTACCCATTTTTAGATCTGTACCTACCTGAATTTTCCGAACTCCCAAATCCCGAAAATGTGCGATCCCATTCCAGTAACTCTAATAAAAATGCAACCACATTATAGTCAATCCTGCCGTGAAAATACGAACCCAACCAAAGGCACATCCGCATTAGTCTCCTACTAGAAAGTACCCCCCCACCCGGAAAAATATGAGAAACGGTGGGGAAGGGAAGGAATGGTGGTGTTGAAGAGTGTGTTTCAAAATGCGAACGAGTGAAACCACTATTTCTTTCAAGAAGGAGATTCGCAATATCCTCCTTCTACAAACAACCATTGTAATATTACATGTAATGACTGAACTAGTGAGTAAACGTAACAATTCAACAAACCTTCATCTCTCGCTTGGTGATTCCATTTGTCCATGACGGTTGAGACGGCCCGTAGGAATTTTTCTTTTTCTCTCTGATGATGTCTTTTTATTTCCTCCTCCTTCTGTAGTATCTCCTTCACGATTTTTCCTATTTCCAATTGTCTTTGTTCTCTTTCCTCTATCATCTTTTCGAGGAGTTTTTTCACCGCCGGACCTCCCTCTTGAAACACGCTCCGTTCCTCTTCCGTAAGACGAAGATCGTAAGAAATTTTCTTGTCACTTCTCTTCGGGCCAATTCTGACGTTATAATCACTCTTTGGTATCTGTTCTTCGAGATGCTTTTTGAGAGATGCTTCCTTAGCCTTTGCCACTAAGTCAAGGTTGTCTTCCGTCCCCTTACTTTCCCTCAACGCTATCAGCTCCTCCGTTCGTCCTGCAACCTTCACTGTTAATTTAGTAATTTGGCTCTGTGAATTTAGAGCTAGGAAAAAACATCCAATTCTCTCAACATCAGGATAAGAGTCTTCAACAGCAATCCAGTCAGAGTACTCGATCATTAATACTTCTACTTTACTGTAAACCTTTGAAGGACGTTCACTGGCGTTTAATAACTTCTTCATTTCTTTCAGGGGAAGAGAAGGACGAAGTGAGCGCCATTTTACTTTCTCCAGCATTTTTGCGAGGTCATACAACTGGAACTCCTGAAAAACGTCTTTTAACAGCTTGACTGGAGTGTCAGGAAAGAATTCGGCTATATCATGCAGCATATAGGGGCGCAGTTTCCCACGATCAAGCCCAAAAGACTGATAAAATCGCTGCAGAGCATTGGGGTCCGCGAGAAGTCTGCATACCAGTTCTGCTATCACTGTCTTACTTAGATCTTTTAAACATAGATTGGAGACGGAATTTAGGAAGAAGAGAAAAATTAATGCTAAAAATGCAAATAGGTATTTACCATTTGTTAGAAACCATCAAAAGCAAACGGCATTCACTTCGAGTAAGTACGGTGGGGCGGGAATGAGATTGCAAAGTTAAGATCTATATTTAAGTGCTTAAGTTCTCAAGGAGACGTGAAGGCAAACTTTATCGACTGCCTCTAAATATGACATCAAGCCTCGTTTTATCGCTAGGGTAATGCATGCATATGCATTCAGTGACAACTCAAGAGTGCAATGCGCAACTTTTTTATGAGAATCCACAGTTGTACTTACCGTTCTTAAAAGAATTTTTATTTGTTTTCTGCACCCGCCGAGATTTTACCTTTTTCCCCACGTCTTTTAGGGGAAAAAGGTAAAATCTGGGCAGGTGTAAAAAAAACCCTAAAAAACAAAAATGAATCGGAAATGAAAATGGTGTAGTATTAGGAATGTTTTCTCGTTAAAGGTCACTAACCCTACCAACATGGGAACATGGTAAAGTGGCTGTTAAAATATACTGTGGGTTTCAGTATCATTTAAGAGTTCTTTGAGGAAGTGTTTAAGGATGACGCCAACATCAAGAGAAAAATTCTCTTTCAAATTGGCATTCTTGATCCTAACAGAATGAACGCTCTTCATTTATTCAACTCAGTAATTTTGTATTTTTGACATAACCCTTTGGACCTAACTTACACATATTGTATATAATTACTCACAAACTAAATTCCCCTGATTTTCCCCCTGACGAGAGGCTAACCTTCGAAACGTTAGTTTCTCAATCTCCTTATGATGCCCAACCTACGTTTACCTAGTCAATAATCCCAATCTTGCTCTTCCCCCACCTAAGCAAAGGTACTGAATCTCCTTAATTGACCAATAACCCTAAATCCGTTTTGACGGAGTAACTGCGGGGAGAGGATTTAATAACTGCTACAAATATCTTATTCACCATGAGCTTCACTGATTAACTCTGTCCTGGCTTTCTCATATTCTAGTTGGTCGATGGTCACTATGACTTCCACTTGCTCTCCGCCAACAATTTCTCTCATTTCGTCAGTGACAAATAAGGCTTGCAGGCCTGCTTTCAGCGTCCCGTCCGTATACATACTCCACAAGTTTTCAACAGCCGAAAGACTTTTTACTTGAACTTTGAGACACACACAGCCTTCGGTTATTTGAATCAAACTGGCGCCCGAAGGAAGTACGCATGTGTTAACAGCCGTGATGAGCTGGCCATATGTTGAGTCCTGAATCAATAGCTCTAGGCTGGAAGCGATTGTAAAGCCTCCTGCCAAAGCTTAAAACAGAGTCTTCATGTTCAACACTGAAACCGAAAAGAGTTAAACGCACTATTTAAGGTAACCAAACAATTGGGCAGGAAAGAGAACAAAAAAATAGTCAGATTTAAAAGTGAGTTGCGAAAAGCTCCAGCTAGATGTTGTCTTTAGCCGAAAGTATTGTCACCCCAACAATGTATATTATCTCTTCCCATCAGCAGACTCTTTGAGCCATTAAATGAAGGTACCAGCTAGACAACTTTTCTTGCTCGCACATCTTCAAAGCAGCAGTAAGAAGCAGTTTGGATAAAATTTGGCGACGGTGTTTCGAGGAATGTATTGTTGAAGTATATAGTTATCGAGGGTTAAACTTACAAATGCACACACTGTTCCCGGTAGGCTCACACTGAAGTTTTCATAATAGGCTGGTCCGCGAACTCAAAGAAAAACAAAGGAAATTGTCAAGACATTCAAAGACCATGGACCTCATAGACGCAATGACAAATCGGAATGTCAGGAGTGTATGTGTAAAATCGATAAGAGTTTGAACGGAAGAATGTGTATCAAGTTTTAGAGTCGCAAGCCGATTTGTGTAGCTGGTAATCAGTGTGACAAAAGTGATTTTGATTTTCACAATGCGGAACACTAGGAGTTGCCTGTGATAAAAATCTCTTCGGATGAAGGAAGAGAAGATTGTCAACAATTGAAACCAAAATGGTCTCAGGCTTCTTTGGGAACTACTGTGATAGCGGTAACAATTCTTCTTATTCTTTCAATTTTGTTTAGCAGAGTGACTTTTAATGTACTTGTTTCTGTATCGCGAGTTGTGTTTTTGTTTTTTGTGTATATTCTGACGCGGTACATGTACGATGCTCAGCATCGGGTTTTGCCGTATCAGCAAGTTTAAATTTTGTGTTAAAGAGTGTTTTGATGTCAGTGAGGTGACGACAAGAAAAGGTAATGAGTGAATTGTGCAGAAGGAAAATTGTTCTGTGGAGGAAATAAATGAGATTGACTTGAGATCTCGTCGTGGGAAATTTACTTATAACAGAACTTACAATAAGGTTTAAGTCATTTTTCTCGACGCGGTCGTGTACCTAGCAGACTACCGATGAAGAAACTAAATTCTTTGTTAAAGAAATCACGGAAAGGGAGACTTTTGTTTTTGTATTGCGCGTTCTGTTTTTCATGTAATTGTTTATATTGTGACGAAGTACATGTACGATGCTCGGCGTCGGGATTTTGCATTATCAGCAAGTTTTGTGTTAGGAGTGTTTTGATGTCAGTGAGAAAGAAAAGGTAATGAGTCAATTGTACCGAAGGAAAATTGTTTTGTGGAGGAAATAAAAGACGTTTAATTGAGATCTCGTCGTAGGAACCGATTTATTTATAACAGAACTTACAATCCAGTTGGTTTAAATAAGGTTAGTCATCTTTCTCGACGTTGTCGTGCACCTAGCAGACTACCGATGAAGAAATTAAAATCTTTGTTAAAGAAAACACAGAAAGTGAGACTTGTTGTATGGAAGGGAATTCTGAAAAATATACCATTGTCGTCTAAAATTCATTGTTACGTTAGAAATGGTTTACACTAAAACCGGTACAGAAGTAACTGTAGTAGGGTGTGGTGTTTACTTAGGGCAAGTCCACACTCTAAATCAGAAAGATCTGTTTTAGCCCTAAAAATAGGGCCGTTTCGGTGAGCAAAATACAGTCCTATTTTGAGTCTAATTTGGCTCCCTTAATCAGGGCCAATACAACCTAATTAGCTAGGGCTGATTTGGTCCCAGGGCTGAAATGGGCACTACCGCGGGCTGGAATAGCCTTTTGATTGAGCTTTTTTGGCCTAAATTGTGCTCCAATGGCTTCAGGAAGGGCTGAATCAGACATTTGGCCCGCAGGGCTGAATTGACACTTTGGGGCTGAAACAGATCTTTTTAATTTTCAGTGCAAAATTAGTTCGAAAACAAGGGAAGGTTTATCTGTCGTCTAATCATAAAAGAAGAGACTATTAAGGTGGGGTGAGGTATCAAAATAGGGTTTTAAGCATCAAGTATTTGTCCCTCTGTACATGCAACTATCCATTTTATAGTGCTTACAAGAGTTTGATTCACCGGGTTAATTTTCGCCAATTTAATTTACAGTAAGATAAAAAAGATTACTTCAGTCTATGATATGATTCAAATAATGACTTTTGGTAGCCAATTATATTCTAGTCTGTTATTGCTTGCAAGACAATCTATGTTAATGTTAATAGAATTGCCAGAAATGGTTACAGTGTTTGAGCAATTTTTCCAGCTTGAATAAAGCGAAAGTTATACTTGTAACATGCACGGTGATGCCAGAATTGAGGGGTATCACTACTATATGCCACTTGAAACACTCTTGGCTCTGAACTACAACTCATTCATTTTAACTGTGGGAATTATTGGTGTTGATTCTCTTGCTAGAGATGTGTATGGTAGCAGCCATAGTCACAGTACATGTGTATTGTTGGAAATACTTTCCATACATAAATTAGTACAATAGATTAATAGTTTATACCAACGTTGTTGTAAACAGTGCTGTGCTATAGTAGTTTATGCGATGTGTTACTCTGTTATTAATCCGTGTGCACGTGGATACTGGACTTCAGGAACTTTATCTGTCCTTGCCAGTAATGGGAATACACTGTACAATGTGATGGGTGTGAAAAGACATATTATGCCAGTTGATCTTCCTGAAAGTGAGAGTATCAGTGGAGCTGAAATAAACCTTACTGTTTGCGCTGTAAGCGTAGTATCCTATCTTGCAATTTGGCTGAGAGCAAATCTGTGTTGAAGATGTGCATTTCAATACATTGTCATGAAGTGACAGGATTTTTGTCGTGGATTGGAACATACTGTATAAGCTGTGTAGTTCAGCTAAGAAGTAGAGTAAACGATTTATCTTTTCTTGTGGGATATGATGACAGTTAGTTAGGTGAAATAAGACTTGTTAAAAGTATCAAAGGCATACAGTCATTAGTTGAAGGAATTTGTAAAATTACACAAAGTACGTTACATTTTCAAAGACTACAATATGAAATACACTTTATATTATGCTCATGCAAAATTGAAAGCAGTGAAAGGAAAAAGATTGCGAGGAAACACAGGTATAGTTCATTTGAGTATTGTGAGGCGGAACCTCTTGAAAAGAAACATTTAGTTAAAAGGAGAAAATAAAACAGGCAGATCGGGGTATAGATTTTTACATTGAACAGTATAAAAATAAAGCAAGAAAAGATCCCTGTTATATATGTTGTGTTTGTAATCGATTACTTTATAAGAGATCTCAGTGTGCAGTCTTCATTTAATGGAAAACAGTATGTTTGTAAAACATGTCACTTAATACAGACATTTTCTATCAACACCTCAGTGCCACTATTAACAGAGTTTGACTCTATTACCAACATCCAATAAAAACAACCCCATGTAGAAACCCAGCAACTACCTCACAAACTGCACCCACCATCTTAGCAATCAGCTTCCAATATAACTCCTTGACTACTACTTCACACATCTCAACTAACCCCTCAAATATACAATACCACTGCACTACCCACATATCCCTCATACACATAACAAATTTCACATATGTGTAGTACAACCTCGCCCAAATATACGCTCCCACAGCATCTTGTTTGCATGAGAATGAAAAATGATTTCCATATCAAAGGCTGAGCACCTACCCTCG